GAGGCTCGAGGAGGTAAGATGGGCTGTGGGACTCCAGGGGGTGGATGGCAGGGAACCCCACCTCTCTCCTCCCCAAGGCCCACATGGAAGCCACAGGGAGCCCTGCACCCCGACCCTTTAAACAGCACCACCACCCAGAGCGTCCCCTCCCGCAGTGGGACCCAGCTTTCCCCTCCACTGACCTGCAGGTAGGAGAGGCCCCTGCCTTCTGACAACTTTCCCTGAAATCATTAAACTGACACTGTAATCACACTCACCACAACCGTCTAGGGGAAGGGGCTCGTGCCCAACACCCCCAGGGTAGGGAGGGGATAACAGCCCCACACAGGACACGTCCTGGCCACACAGAGAGTGCGAGAGGCAGGGCACGGGGGAGAGTCTCCCCATCCCAGGGTCAGTACTGGCACCCCCACCCCCCTGCCAACAGCTCCAACACTAGCCGCCCTGAGGCTGCCCCCCTCCCAGCAGGCACACTGCCTGGAGCACACATTGCCTGTCCCCAGAGGTTGTCTGGACCTGGGCTGCTCAGCAGGGCTACCTCCACCCCCACCTCCCCGCCCCCAGCCTCAGGGCCCAGCCAGGGCTCCCGCCTGGACCACTGGCTGGTGACACTATGTTCTCCAGGCCCTGAGAGTCGCCTGGAAAGTCATTTCTGAGACAGTGACACCCACACCCTAAGCCCAGCAGGCAGCCCTGCCGCCAGCTCCCTCCTGCAGGAGCAGATGCCTTCAGATGGGCGGTGCCCAGGGGACCCTGCGCATCACTGCTCACCTTGAGCCCTGCTCCAGGGAGGGGGCGCAGGACAGCCCATCGCAGGCTCGCTTAGTTTTGTTTTGGCTGGATTAGCCTGTGCCAGAGCCCCAGTGACATGTGGGTGGGCCCAAAGTCCCCTGGGCCACAGCTCCAGGGCAGGGGTTTAGCTCCCACTTGGGGAAGGGAGCTGGAGCTGGTGGGTGACAGATGCTAGTCTCCAGCTCTGCCCCCGGCCCACTCTGCCCACCCCAGCTGCCCACTGCTGCCAAGAGGCCAGGCATCCATGGGTAAACACGCTGCCAGGGCCACCAGCTTGGCAGGGGAAGAGGCCTGGCCCCAGGTCCCCCACAGCCAGCCTGACAGCACCATCCAGCCTCTCCAGCTCTCTGGGGGGCCTGGGCACCCACTAAGGCCCATCTCTTTTGAGCCTCTGCCCAGGGGGTTCTGTCCCGTGTGCTGGCCACGGCTCCCACCTCCACACACAGGCTGCCGGCGGCAGGCAGAGCTCCAGACCCAGCTCCTAACCTGGGAAGGAGCCTCCCACGCTGAGACCTTGGACCAGAAGGGGCACGGTGGCCTAGGCCCCACGGGGACACTCCCACACCTCCCGAGACGCCTCCATCCTGGCCACCCTCTCCTCTGAACACCTGGGGCGAGCCTGGGCCCTCCTGCCCGGTTACCTGTGCCAGGAACGTCCAGGGGACGGGAGTGGGGGCGCCTCTGCCGCCCACCCGCCGCCCGAGGCCGCCCCGTGCTGGGTGTCAGCCGGGCCGGGACCTACGCGGATCCCAGGCCTCTAGGGGGTCCCGCCGGTGAGCCGGTCCTTCCGCGGGCTCCGCTCGGGGCGGGGAAACGGTGCATTTCCACGCAGAATAGGAACCGGGGCTCAGGAAGCATCGCGCCCGCGGGGGGCCCGCGGGCAGG